ATTCCTCGAAACCAAACATTTATTTGCATACTCTTAAACAGCCTCAAGTGAATACGTTTCGTTCAAAAGTAGGTCGTCTTCTGGTGGAACCGGGCTTCAAATCTCTCTTCGCAACACTTTCACTCGAAATGAAAGTAAGCTCAACAATTATGAGGGATTGTTGGTTGCATATTGCCACTAAGTTTTAAGGAAAGCTGGCGTTTTCCTTGAATTTCACACAGCCTTGCTCTACAGAAAAGCTGTTCTAGTCCCGGTCGGAGTGGACTGCAGTTGCCACCTCGGCTGAGTCTTATCAGCACCTGCGGCGGGACTCGAACCATGACAGTCAACCGCGTACTTTCAACACGTTAACCACTACGCCACCTCGCAACGAATGCCCTTCTTGGACAGGACAGATGTGAACTTCAACAAGGGACATGCCCTTTTTCATATCACATTCTGTGGTTGGATTGTGAATGAATCTAAGATATGTTTGGCTGTAACAATCGACGACATTACCTGTTTTCGAGGCTACCACTAGATTTGATATGAACTGCGTTCATCTACCTCCGTTTAGGGTGCAATTTTCCCACAAGGAATTTAGTAGACATGACGTTCCCTTAAAAGGTAGTCTCGAAAACCTAATTGAAATGAAAAATAAGCAATTTCGTCGATTGTCGTAGCAAATGCAACTGTGCTTCATGCGATATGGGAATGGCCTGACCCTTCTTGAAATGCCCATTAACCCCATGACCCAAGACCAATTGTGGCGATGTGTCTTGGTGGTTGACGTGTCGATATGAGAGGCTGTAATGTCATGGTTCGAGTCCCGTTGGAGGTGCCGATGAGACCAGTTCCGGATGAGAATAGCCTCTAGAAGCAAGGCCATGCGAAATTCAATGAAAGCACAAAGTCCGCTTATATGATTGTGTGAAATGTGGAATACCAGTCCCTTGAAGTTTGCATCTGCCCATTTGTTGCCATCCAACGTGGCGGTAACATGTTGACTGTGTACGATGCGCTCCTCGAGGGTTGATGCGAATTCTCGCTCGTGCACAAACAGGATGGGAATGGCATTTGGGAGAGGCGGGGCGAAAGGAAACTCAATTGCGCCGGTATTGTGGGCAAATTCCGCTAAATCTGCTTCATCAGGGCTGATTGAAATATTATTCACAAATCGGTGATAGCTTCGGAGACTACTTTCTATTGACATGACAAAAGTCGCTGACTAGTACCAATGCTTTACTATTCCCATAATGCGTTCATCTAGCCTTATTCAATAATTGTTTATAGCCTCGAGAACTACTTAATTCGAAAATGAGTAGCATAGTCGTATATGAAATAAGTGGAAAATGATATATGATACAGGCTTGGTCAGCCTTGAAGTTCGAGTCTGTCCTGACACATCAAAAACACACGCTACAGTGCCCGGGTTCGATTCCCGTTGGCGAAGTCGAAACCTCCCTCACGTCCAGTCT